GTTACAGAGCCCTCACAGGTGACCGTCTATTCCCTGGTTCCAGCCGGGTCTTCCTGAGCAGGTAACCTACTGTGGTTCCACACCCCCTCGTAGCTAGCTGGGCGGAACCAACAAGCGGAAGACTGGGGGCAAGTTCCAGCTGCGGGGTCTCTTTACCCCAAGCTGCTCACCCCAAGTTAAAAATCATTATTGTTTTCTATTATAAAAGGAATATTAAATTTATTGTAGAAAATTTGGAATATACGGTAAAGATGAAAAACAGCTATAATCTTAACTGCCCCCTGGGTTCTGAATGAAGAGTGATTCCAGGACATTCTGAAAGGAAGTCCCTGGTTCAGTGTGCTGAGGGAGGGGCCCTGGAAGTCTCCCATGGAAACACAGTTCCATTTCTTGAAAGCTTCAAGAAATAAAAGTTATTCAGTACCCTCAAAAGACTGGTCCCTGAGATCTTTGATACTTGTCAGAGACAGAGTAGGAGAATCCATGTTATTTTTTAGATCAACATTTCTTCTTCCTAATACATAGTAGCCAAAATTACAGTTAAAGAGAAAGAAATCTTTTTTTTTTTTTTTTTATCCTCACCCGAGGACATTTTTCCACTTCTTTGTTCAGATAGAGTGGGAGGGAGAGAATGGAAGAGAGAGAGAGAGAGAAACATCGACGTGAAAGGGACACATCGAGAGGCTGCCACCCGCACAACCAACCAGGGCCGGGGACAAACTGCAACCGAGGTACGTGCCCTTAGCGGGAACCGAACCCGGGTCTCTGTGTATCGCAGGCCGATGCTCCAACCGCTGAGCCAACCGGCCAGGGCTAGAAAGAAATCTTTAAGGCAAAACTTCAGCTGTTTGGTAGAGCTGGCTGTTGGAGGTGAAGAAAGACCTTCCCTAAGGGTGCATGTGCCCTCTGGTGGCAGCTGGAGGGGATGGCTTCAGGGGGGCGGGGGTGGGGGGGGGGCGCTAGGCCCCAGGTTCTCCAAGTCGGGTCGGGACCTAAGCTTCACTTGGGAAGCTGTTAGAAACACAGGCGTTTCAGGCCTTACTACCCCAGACCTCCTAAATCAGAAACGGGGTGGAGCCCAGAAATTCGTGTTTCCACAAGCTATTCAGGAAGTTCTGATAAACCTGAAAGTTTGAGAACTACTGTTCTAGGTAAGTATGGGCCTGATACCTGATAATGTGTCAAAACGCATAGGCCTGAGGCTGAAAGAGAAGGGAATGGAGAACCGACCATGCTGAAGGCACTGGGCCACACCTCATGGAGGTCCTTCCCCACACGCAGTCCCGCCTCCTTCTTGGCCCAAAGATGTGGGGGGGCGGGGCTGCCGAGCTAGGGAGCAGGGGCAGAATGGACGGGATCCCAGAGTAAACCAGTCCAGGCTTCTTGGACTGGGCTTAAAAGGCCACACCATCTGTGTGTGACGCTAAGCCTGGGATTCTTAGGAGAGATCAGAGGTACAGTGACAGAGTGATTCCAGAGCTCTGGCAAACCCATCCCAAGGGGATGTGAGACCTGAACCTCAGGCAAAGGCAGAGGAATGAAAACCCACAGCGGAGCTAGGAACCAAGTATGCCCAAGGAAGGAGGAGGCAAGAAAAGAAGTGTGGCCCTCTTGGGCCGACGGAAGGAGATCCTCGAGACATTTATTCAACCAGATACCTTCCCGGAGGAAATGCTTTCTAATTCAATTACTGTCAGAATGAAAAATCCCCACACTGACTCAAGATGCAGTGGTGCCGGCACTAGGGGAAATCGGGTCTCTGGCTCCAACTGGGTGAAGAATGGATAGGCCACCAGCCAGGTTCCCTGACAGAGAAGTGACTGTTCTCAATACGCCCAGCTGTTTAGGAAATCTGTGCACCTGGCTAAGTCAAGCAGGAGTTAGTAGCGAAAATCTGGCAAGAAAAACAAGAGACAGACAGAGGGAAGATGTCACGATAAATATGTTCCCCTCTCCTTCTAGAAACAGTTCCATTTTTACTGTCCTCCTACTAGATCGATTACAGAGAAGCTCTGGTTTGGTTAAGATACAGTATTTCAGATTACATGTCTAATCTACTAATTAACCTTATTCGTTCAATAGTTATTTATTGAGCACCTCCGATGTGGCAGTCATTGTTCTAGCTTCCGGGGTTACAGCAGTAAAAAAACAGACAAAAGCCTCTGCCCTCCTAAAGCTTACATTCTAATGTGGAGGCGATAACAAAATAAGCACATGTACAGAGCTGAAACAGCTTTTCATCCCCAGCTCACTCTGAATCCTGGCTTTTCAAAGCCTGAGCACTGGCTTTTTCTGAACTGAAAGAGATCGACAGTGTGGAGTCTTTCGGTTAGGAAAGCAGCCCAGACAAGGGCTTCCAAACAATTCATATGCAACCGAATCACCTGGAGATCTTGTTAAAATGCAAATTAAGACTGGGGAAGAGGAGTCTGGGGAAGAGGTCCCAGGGATGCTGAGCTGCTGGACCAAAGTGAAGTTGTATACCACATACTTTTGAGGAGGTCCACTTGGGAGTCAATGCTGTGATGTGAAGCTAGCCCAGCAACAGGAATTCTCAGCCAGGTCCCTGCCTCACCAGGACTCCTTGGTTTCGGTTCTGGACTTCCATCTGAGGCCCTGGATAATTTGCAGAGCCTTTTTGCATTTCACCCAGTTCCCACAGTAACTCCTTCCAGCAGGACTACTACTTGTGAAAGATAAGCAAACAGCACCTGCCTAGAGAGATTGAGGGAGGGCACAGTCTCCCATCCCTGTCTAGAGGGCTTGCTGGCCTGGAGCAGACTAGAGCCATTAGAGAGGGGGTTGTCCTTGGGCAAGTGCTGCTGGCCCGTGAAGAAGCCAGCTCGGCAGGAAACCAGGCATTTATGTCTCAGAGACCATTTAACCTGAGGCTGACTCGCTGACTCGTCTAGCTGCCATGGCCCACTTGAAAACAGTTCACTAGTTGAACTTCACTGAATTGGATTTGGGGTAGGTTTCTGATATGGTGTGAATTTTGCAAGAAGCAATCTGTTGGTCGCTGTTAGAAATGTTCAGCCCTCCCAGGTGGCTTGCCATAGCCCAATCATATAGTTGTGTGAGCATGGGAATCTGGGATGGTCAGAGAAGGGAATTCCTTTCCTTCTGGCCAGGGGCCAGGAGGAACTGTTCAGTCTCATTTCATAGGACCCTCGGAAAGATTGTCACAGAAAGAATGGACACACGTAACAGCTACTTCCTTACGTCAAGTTGGGAGAGGTCAATAAGAGGTTATTTGGCCAGTCAAAACACACCCCGCCTGCTCTTTAGGTGAGTATGTAACCATCCAGAATGGCAAATACAGCTTTATGGCATGTAATAAATTATAAGGTACTAAGACATGGAACCATTTTATGATGGGCCTAAAGAAACAAAGACAACTGGAGATTTCCTTGGTGGAAAGGAACGTGCCAGTAGGCAGGCACATTTCTCGCGGAAGGCAAAGGCAAAAAGCCCAGCCAAAGCCTTTCCCCTGGGAATTCTGCTTGCAGTTATTTATTGGGTGGTGTGTCTGCAAGAGCCTACATGCCCAGACTCAGGAAGGCTATCCAGCAACAGGGACAGAGGCAAGGGGCCAAGAGCAGCATTCTGGAGCCAAGATCAGTTGGAACAATGACCAAGACAGGAAAATAGGGCAGAGAGGCAGCTGGCTTCTCAGAAGATGAGACAAAGCCTCTAGAAACAAGGGAGGACTTCGAAGTGGTTACCTTGGAGGTCAGTTCAGGATCCACAGCAGACAGGAAACCCAATAGGGTACTGGTCACGAAGTGGGCCAACAAGATTCTGGAAAACAGGAAGGAAATTTGCTCTCAAGATTTTCTCACCAGCTACCTTCCAACCGCACCACTCACTTGGTATTTTTAGGACAGGAGTATTGCACCAGAAGACAAATCAGCCTTGGTTCTAATCAGAAACCAGACAGAAGGAAAGAAAGGGGAGGGAGGGAGGGATAGAGGAAGGAGGGAGAGCAAGAGAGAGGAAACAGAATGCGAATGAATGTGTCTTAAGTAAGACTAGAACTGAAGCCAACTTGAGACCCTGGATGGATCCATCCTGAATCCTGCGTCTGCTCCCAGCCGCAGGGACGCAGTCACCTGACTGGGTGCTGAGATGAGAAGAGCAACGATGTAAGGTCCATTCAGAACAATCTAACTTGTGCCCTCCTGAAAAGTTAAAAAGGCAGAAAACTAGTTTATCTGTAAGAAAATGTTTATTCTTTTGAACCCCACAGGGAAAAAAAAATGCAGCCAAGACCAAGTATTTAACGAAAATAGTGTCCCAAAAGGCAGCAAAATGGGGGAAACCTCAAAACAAAGTCAGTGACAATTTTCCATGTTTTTGCACAAAGATGAAAAAAATTCTATGACAATTCCGAGTAACACTTTCATGGTGACAATTACACAAGATGATTTAAAAATGCAAAATGGCAGCAACATGCACACCTGGCTAAAGCTAGAAGTTTTCTTTTTTTTTTTTTAATCCCAAAATAAGAGCTGTGATTGAAAGGATGATTCTTTTTAATACTTCTATTTTGCTGACTTGCTTGTCCTACTTAATTTGCTTTAAATGAGATGTTCATGCCAATTAACAGGAAATTTTAGAAGAACTATGTCCTTCCAGAATCCACGGCAAGGAAGCAAAACCAATCTATTTGGTTTCTTATTTTTCCTAGTTTCCAAATACAGTTTTGCTTTGCCCCTCCCTCTCCCAGTCCCTCCCCCACCCCACCCTGATTCTTAAACACTTCCAAAAGTTGCCAGTGCAAACACTTTTCTACCAATGTATAATATACACTTGAAACTGAAATCTTTGTGCAGTTTTGAGTTTAAAATTCTTAAAAGAAAACCTTCCTTGGCACAAGAGCTGAGGAATAGTCAAATTTCTTTTAACTGTCAAACACAAGAGGATGGAGAGTGATGAAGAGTAGAAAGCACACTTAAGTGAAATGAAATGGAAATAAAACAAAACAAAAACAAAAAGCCTAGAACTGCAGCTGTTATTCGCCATCATTGCAGTCTCTCGTACACAAACCAGGCCCAGCTCCCCTTACCACGGTGCTGGCCTCGAGACAAGTCCAGAGCTGTGCTGCTTTCTAGAAAGGAAACAGAAGTGGCGGCCATGGTAACGAGCAGCCCAGCTACCCACCAGCTGTACAGCAGGATCTGCATTGAGCTTGATACAGACAGAAGACAGATGATGACAAAGAGGGGGAAAGTCTACAACCATTGAGTTTCCTCTTGAAATGTCTTTTCCCAAGGCACTGTGAACAAAACTGCTGCTAGCAATTTCCTAGGACTAAACACACTGATGGGAATAGAAACATTTCAAACACAACTCCTGTTACTGTCCCACAGCTGGTCTCCTCACCTGAGTCTTTCCCCTCAGCTTAAATGACACTCCTTGAATTTGTTTGGTCCTTAGAGGGGTAATTGGTTTTTGTTTTCTGTAATATCAAGAATCACCTTCTTGAATTCAGCTATACAATCAAAGCTGTGTAAGGTTATTTAACTTTCACTCTAAAAACAAAAGGTTTTCATTATCACCCCATGTGGATCCAATGTGCAGGTTTTGCTTATTTAAGGACAAAACAAAACAAAATTAGAGGGTTGAGAAGCAAAAACCCCATTTTTTGTTTTTTTTTTCTTCAAGAGGAAACTGTAAGAATACATAAAAGGCAAAATTGGCTATTTGAAATCCAAGAATGGTTTTAATGTATTGGCCGAGAAAAATAAACTGCAAAGTTCTGTGAGGTCTTCTAAAAATTTACAAGAAAAACTGATGGGCAGTTCTAATCAGACTTGGATGTTATCTTTACCCCCCTTTTTAAAAACGACAACATATACAGTCCCACAAAATACAATATAAACTTTTTGTTATCTTGACTGCCAGAGACGCTCCTTTGCGATGTCTTCTGGTAACCAAATTGTTGGGCAAAACACACAGCTGGTCTTTACTTCTTCATAGGCTGGTAAACAGAGGCATTGGGATCGAGTCCAGAGGGGCTGGTCTCCACAAATTTGGAAGAGTAGTGAGGGGAAACGGGGCTCAGGGGGCTGGTGGCGGCACTGTACGTTATGCTGGGCATGACGGCCATGACTTCGGCTATCTTCTGTTTTAGGTCCTTGATTTCCTGGTCTTTCTGAAGAATTTGTCCTGGAAGATCAAAGACCCACCATTAGAGAGAAGGGAGGGCTAACCCAACACAACACCCTCCTCGGCCAACCCCCAGTGGAGGTGACTCCAGCTCTGATGGTTTATAAGGGTAGGCAAATGTTCCTGTGAAGGGCCCAAAAGGAAATGTTTCAGGTGTGTGAGCCGCATACTGTCTTTGTTGTGTTTTTATTTATTTATTCTTTAAACCATGGAAGAATGGAGAAACCATTCTTAGCCCATGGGTGGCACAAGAACAGGCAGCAGGCCAGCTCTGGCCTGAGGGCCATAGTCCCTGGATAAAAGGAACCCTGTCTATGCAGGCGTGCCTAAGCAGGAAGGTTCATCTGCAGGAGCCCACGCTGAGGATGGCAACACGATGGCAGCTAAGAGGTGCTTTGAACTACGGCTCTCCCTCTGGAGCTGCATTATTTTTCTGGGAGCGTGAACTATCTCCGAGTGTCAAGCCAAGCAATACAGAACCCAGGCCTCAGAACCAGTCACAGCAACACCCAGGTTCTCAGACAGGAAATAAATGGAGCTCTGTGGCTGCTGCACTGGGGTTCTCAAGGACTCAGACCAACTGCCCAGTTTGCCACTGACGAAGGCTTAACAACACACTCCCTCCTACTCTCAGTGTCTTGCCCACCAGCTCCTGCCTGCCTCCAGGCTATTTCCCTTCCCTCCTTCTGCTCTCTCTGTTGTTAACCCTTGAGGTTTCTGTTTCTACTTCCTCACAAAGGTTTCCCCAATCCTCTCATTTAAATCAGACCCTACCCACCCACCCCCAAATCCTAGATTCTCAACACACCCTACACTTTCCTATCACTTTATTCTTTGTAATAATGATAATAATTACATTAGCTAACACATATGTGCCAGACACTATTCTAAGTACTTCCACATATGAACTCATTATCTAGCACAACAACCCTATCAGGTGGAAATCATCATCATCATCATCCATTTTAGAGATAAGGAGACTGAGACATACAGAGGGAAATAGCATCGAGGCAGGCAGGAGCTGGTGGGTAAGACATACAGAGGGTGAGTACCAAACAGAGCCAGGCTTCAAATCTATGCTGTCTGGTTCCAGAGTGTAACTATTCATTCAGGTGATGGCTTGTGTCCATCATCTCTCCACAGGACCATGAGCTCCATGAGAGATTATCTACTTTTTTCATTGCTATACTCCTGGTGCCCAGCCCAGAAGAAATTTGAGGCGCTGAGAGTTATGCATCCTGCCCAAAGTCATTCACTTATTAAGATAGAGCAGGATTTCAACCCAGGCCCACTTTGTTCAAAGCCCATGCAATTTCCATCATTCTTTGTAGCTCCCTGGTCTACTAGGGGAAGAACACTTAGGAGCAGCCCTTCAGAAACTTAAATGCTTAGAAAAGAACAAGGTTGCATTTGAGTTGCACTCATTTTGAGTCCTATGAAAGATGGTAATATATTTAAAATGTAAATGAGTATGGCAGCATATTTTTAAAAAGGATGTAGTAGAGATGAAAGTCATTGTGGAACCAGGATGAATCAAATGATGTAGAAAGTAGGAACGAGAAAGGCAACGGGTTGATTTGAACAAAGTTGGGTTCTTATTCTGAGCATGGCAGTGAAGGGAAGTAGTGGGAAAGGCAGCAGCAAAGGGCTATAGAAAGGACCTGCTCCCTATGATTTACTTCAAGTCCCCTCAGCTTTAAGCATCAAAATCCTCCTTCCCTTTTAACACAATAAGCTTCAGATGAATAGAATACTTTACCAACATCTGATATATGAGCTACTGGATTTTTTAAATTTCTATGCTGATTTAAGTTTGATTTCTTTAATCCGTAATATGCAAACATTCCCAGAGCTTTGAAAACAGACATTTTTCTCTGCTTCTTTGTTGCTTTACAAGAACTCCTGGACTGACTAGCCAAGCTCCTCTTGGCTACTGCGCTACTCTGAGATCAGGTGCTGCTTCACTGCAGGGGGAAGCTCTTTCAAATTTGCAAACTGGATGCAGCAAAGAGAGGTGGCCATTTCTTAGGGAGCGGAACCAAGCAGGCAAAAAAACAAAACAAAAACAAAAAAACCACCACTGTGTGATCAGAAGTTCTGCTTTAAAGCAGGATTCTCAGGAACCTTTTTTTAAAAATGCCTTTCCCTGAGTCCACAGGCTAATAAGCCTGATTCTCAACTCCCTTCTCTTCTTGCTTCACCACCTGGGCCATCCCAAGCCACTCTTATGGCTTCACTAACTTCTCACAACTGCTATATCCCACCCTCCTACCCAAGGAGGTTTTGGTCCTCTCCCTGAGGTTTAGGCCCAAAACTCCCACTGACTGATGAATGTCTTTTACCTGGGTATCCAGGAAGCAAGTCCAAATGAAAGCATCCCAAACCAAATTCACTCTCTTCTCATTCCTCACATCTTCCTGCTTTTCTTTCTTGGTTCCAGCAACTTTATCCTTCTCTCCCCTGTCTGTACTGTCTCCCTCCTGCCCCCCACCATACCCACACCCACACCCACACCCACCACTCTTAGCTAGAAGACAGTGGTAACTTCCTAAGTGACTTCTCTGCCTCCACTCAATCTTTCAAATCCATCTTTCACACTGCTACTGGAAAGAGATTTCCAAAGTAACAGCCAGAACATGTTGCTCCCTTCCTCCTGAAATCTAGGAAATACCTTCTCAAGTATGGCTTCATTCACGGTCCTCCTGATCTCCCATTCTCTTCTTCCAGGTCCCCCAGCTTGAGGTCACTGGACTGCTCACCTGGACATTCCCAGCACTTTCGTTCCTTCATTTACACTAGCCCCTCAGGTAACAATGTTCTTCCCTGCCATTCTCTGTTCTCAGAATTCACCCTTCAAAGCCCACTCAATGACCCCTCCCTCATGAAGCCACTCCTGATCTCTCCTCTTGCCTTTCCAACCCTCTGCCTCTACCTAATGGCAGCAGGCCTCACCGCTTGGCTTGCCCTCTCACAGGGGCCACATGATCCTCACAATAATACTCAAACATTATTTGCCTTCTTCATACTCATGGGCATGAAAAGAGTCTTCCAGAAACAACATGGCAAGTGAAATTACAACAGATTGAATGTAGAAACAGAGAAAGAAATGGAACTATCTTTTATCAAGCCAGAAACTAAAGAGATTTGCTAAATGTAAATGAACACCACTTTTCTTATTAAAATTTTTTTGAAAATATACTTTTTCATAAAAATATGTTATTTACACGTTAACAAGTAATATGCTTATGTTATTTTAAAATAAATTAAGAAACAGATGTTTTGCCCGGCTGGTGAGGCTCAGTGGTTGAGCGTCGACCCAAGCACCAAGAGGTCACCAGTTCGATTCCCAGTCAGGGCACATGCCCAGGTTGTGGGCCTGATCCCCAGTGGGGGGCATGCAGGAGGCAGCCAATCGATGTTCTCTCTCATTGATGTTTCTATCTCTCTCCCTCTCCTTTCCTCTCTCTCTAAAAATCAATAAAGGAAAAACTTAAAAAAAAAAAAAGAAAAATGTTTTAAGTTTTAATTTCTAACAGGTAAATGTTGACAAATATAATCCAGTTGTTAAAAAAAAACAAAAAAACAAAAAACCTCCTTGGTGTACTTGATAATTTTAAGTGTAAAGGGATCCCTAAGACCAAAATGTTTGAGCACCACTGCCCTGGTGGATCCCCCACTAGACTATTGCTCATCTGTCTCTCCTTTAGCTTCTAGTATAATGCTTTACACATAGTAACTGTAAATACTATTTAAGTACTTTTTGAATTATCCTTTTCTTTCTACTAAGTCAACTATTTAAATTTTTTTTCAATAATTTATCAGTGGCTAATTAATTTTTTGGACAAAATCCAAATTTCTTTTCATGAGTCCATGTTATGCCTCTGTTCAGAAGCTTTCCAAAAGTGTCCCATGTCAAGCCCTGGCTAGGTAGCTCAGTTGGTTAGAGTGTCATCTGGATGTGCCAAAGTTGGGTTCGATCCCTGGTCAGGGCACAGACAAGAATCAACCAATGAATAAGTGGAACATAAACAAGTGGAACAACAAATCGATGTTTCTCTCTTTCTTTCCCTCCTCTCCCCTCTAAAATCAGTAATTAAAAAAAAAAAAAGTGTTCCATGTCACTCAGAGTAAAGTCCAAAGCCCTTGTCATGGGCTACAAAGTGTGGCAGAATGTGGCTCCTGCTACTTCTGAGGTTGACAACTCTCCCCATCACTCAGGCTGCAGTCCCAGTGGCCACCACACGTGCTCCCTCTGCCTGAAGTCCTTTCCCCCCAGAGATTTACATGACTCACTCATTCTCTTCCTTTCAGTCTCTGTTCAAAGGCTACCTACTCAAAATATTTTCCATGTTTACCATGTCAAACTGGCAGACAGACAGACACACAGACACAGACACACACATGCACAACCCTGCCTTGCACTACTTTATTTTCTTTCCCTTGCACCATACCATCTGACGCATATTTGCTTGTTATTGTCCATCCCCTCTGGGATTCTCACAGTGCCTGGCATGCAGCACGTCTCAGTAAACAACTGCTGAGTGAACAGTTAGCTCTTCACTCTCCTCACCACTCCCTCGTCTGTAGCCTCCTCTCTAACCAAGCAGGGCCAGCTGCAGCTCTGAACACATCAGGCCCTCCTAGCTTCCCTGGCCTTGCTCAAGCTGCTTCTTCTGTTCAGATGCCTCTCTAGACCTCACTCCTACTATACTGCTCCTTCACTGGGCTAACCTTTTCTTATCATTCAAGACCCAGCTCAGATACCAGCTTCCCTGAGCCCTGACTTCCCAGCCTGGCTTTGACCCTGACTCTCTCCATGTTCCCACAGACCCTGCACCAGCACCTCTGGGTCTCTGCAGTCCTCTAATTCTTCAACAACACTGTGAGCTCCTTGACCACAGAAGTTCATACTCCTCTCTGTATGCCCTGCTCTTGACATATTCTCACTTCAAAATATGTCTACAGGAATAAATTAATGTGATGATTCTTAAGTGTCAACGTTGGGCACCTACCACTTAAGTAGAAAACTGAGCTCTCTGCATCCCTGTGCACTCTCAGCCACACCATCTCACCTGGGGCCTGCTGCTCTCCTACCTTGGGCAATCTCAAGCTGTCGCTTTGCGTCCCCAAGTGCAGAGAACAGGTCCAGCTTGATTCTCGTTTCTGCGCTCAGGCTGTTCTCCAGGTGCTGTGTTTTATCTTGCATGGCTGAGAGAGCTGACATTAACACCTCAGTGTCCTTCTCATTTTCCTTATACTTCCGAAGCTCCTATCAATATCATCAAAGCAGCAATGTTACAAGATAGTTTTGGCATCGGTGTCTACAAATTAGCCTGAAATCACAAATAAAATCCTACTATTATTGACCTGGTCCCTAGAACACAGAATGCTACTATTCAGAGGGTTTAGAACTTACCATTTAGAGGACAAAATGTACTTATATGGTGACACATACAAAAAACATTTTAGTAGATAAATTTGACTATATTGGGCTTTTCTGTCTCCAAATAAGACCCTTTCTTGCAGGCCTAATTCAGAACCAAAAAGAATGTTTTCCTTGCTGCCAATTGTAAATGTTGCTGTAATACTGTAGTCAAATTTGCCAAAACTCTACTCTCACCCTGCACTAAAAATGATAAAAATGTTAATTATTTTAACAGGGCATACTGCAGAATAAGCCCACTTAAAACATCTGGTAATGTAGACAATAAATGTATGTATCTAGATATTCTAATTTCTTCATTTTAAAATAGAATCCAGCCCTGGCCAGTTTGGCTCAGCGGTTAGAGCGTCGGCCTGCGGTCTGGAGAGACCCGGGTTCGGTTCCCGCTAAGGGCACGTACTTCGGTTGCAGTTTGTCCCCGGCCCTGGTTGGTTGTGCGGGTGGCAGCCACTCGATGTGTCCCTTCACATCGATGTTTCTGTCTGTCTCTCCCTTCCTCTCTCTCCCTCCCACTCTATCTGTACAAAAAATGGAAAAATATCCTCGGTTGAGGATAAAAAAAATAAATAAATAAATAAAGAAATAAAAAAATAAAATAGAATCCAAACTTATTATAGAGAATTAAAAAATATATTAAAGTTCAAAGAATAAAATGAAAACTGCCCAAAATCCCAATACTGTGAAGTTTTGATATATAGTCTTTTAATCTTTTAAGCATATGTGTATTTTTAACATAACTGAAATCACAGTATATATACAGTTTTGTATAGTTTTAAAAAAATGTAATCTCAAAAGTTCTTTGAAAATGTAATTTCAATGGCTGTATAATATATTCCCATATATATATGTCCCATAATCTATTAAACAAATCACCGATTGTTAAAATTGTTTCCTTTTTTTTTTCATTTATATACCACCATGATGAACATCTTTGTATATCTATCATTTGTGAGATTTAAAAATATTTACCTTAGGCTGAAGCCTAAGTACATGCCCTTTCCAGAAAGTTACAATTCCACCAGCAGTGTACGAGGCCTATTCACTGCAGGCTTACCCAGGTTGATAATATCATTTAAAAATTCTTTGCTAATTTCACAGGAGATAAATGATATGTATAGTGATTAATAAGGATATATTTGTATGTTCTTATAAGCCATTTCTATTTCTTCTGTGAATTAAATGTTTGCATCCTTTGCCTATTTTTCTGTATATTTAAGCTTAGCCATTTTCATGAGTGTTTTACATATCAAGAGTATTAATTCCTTAGTTATATCTGTTGCAATATCTATACACTCCTCAACGGATTTTTTTATTTATATCTTTTGCTTTGTGATTTTTTTCTTTCTTTCTTTTTTTTTTAACTGCAGTATAATTTTTAACTTATTTAATTTTTATAATAAATTTATTGGGGTGACACAGTTAATATTATAATACCTCATCTGTATATTGCATTGTGTACCCATCATCCAATGTTTAGTCTCCTTTCTATCACCTCTTCCATTATTTTTGTTTAGAAAGTCTTCCCGTTTCAAAATTTAAAAAATTCTACTATATTTTCACCTAGTTTAAAACAAAATGTTTCTTTTTTTTTTCTTTCTCTACATTCAACTCTTCATCTGGAATTAATTTTTGTGTAGTATGAGATGACCTACTTTTATTTCTAATGCCACCTTTACTGCACACTTCAGGCGTCTCTAGGTTATCTATTCTACTCTACTGACCTGCTAGTAATTTCTTACCAGTTCCTTATGAGTCAAATTACTGTAACTTTACAATAATATGACATTAGTTTTAAATGTTCCCTTGAAGAGCCAATGACAAATACCTGGCTACAGTATACACGGCCTCCAAAACTGGCTATGTTCACAGCACTGGCAGCTTTCCTCACAGTGTACTGCTCAGAACTGCAATCTGGAAGGCTCAGAGCCACACAGAATGGTCCATTCCTGGCAATGGACAGAGGGTTAGGGCTAATAAGAGATGTATAAATTCCAAAGGATACTAATCTGGCCTATAATCTGAAAAAATGAAATGAATCTACAGTAAGTCGAATTCTGGTATAAAACATGTTAAGGGAACACCAACATTTCTGGCTTGTGTTAGAATCTGGCTAAATTAAATATGACATGAATAAGCTGGACAAGATTAGAGCTTCCTTTTATCACAGAGATTTTCAGATGCAATGGGATTTGACTGTATTAAAAAGTACCATCTCCACATTATATCATCAACCACAGATCAAACACAGAAGAGGAATTCAAGTACGAGAACATTGTTTGTTCTCCCATCACCTGAACTTTCAGTTCTAGTTCTCTGATCTGGTCTTCTTTCACCTTCATGTCCATTGTGAGCTTCTTGCCCTCTGCCTCTAATTCTCTGATCCGATTCCGTAAGGTTTCGGTGCACTCTCCCCTTTTGAAAAAGAAGAGAAGGAAATAAGAGGACTTACAAAGACTACATGTTTACTTATATTGCAGGGTTGATATTTCTCTTATACTCCAGAGTTAGTCAGGTGTGAGCGTTCGGTTTAGACTGCTCATTCTTTCTATTCTTTGATAATTTCAACAAACTCTCTAAAATAATTATTATTACCTGGATATCTAATATGAGTCAGGCACCAAGCTAGGTACTTTACCCATACTACCTTCTTTATGAGAATAGGATATATTTTCCCATTTTATAAATAAGAAAACTGAAGCTACACAGACATACTACTAGTCAAAGGTCACCTAGTTTGTATGTCACATAAGAACTAAGGTTTCCCAGCAAGCTTCCCACCAGGCCATAAGACTCAAAGACAATGCACCCAAACTGAGCAAGACAAAGCTGGACATGCCCAGCAGGGGGCAGTGAGCCAAAAAAAAATTCACTTTTGAGGGACTATGCATTGGGATTTTCATCTTTCTTTAGTCATGAAGTTGCCACAGGCCCAGAGTAAACAGAAAAAGAAGGGAGCAGCATTAAGTGGCTTCTCAAGGTTACGAGAAGAATAAACTACAGAAGATGATGGCAAAGGCTAGTCCAAATCTGATTAACTGTTCAGATTTCAGAAACAGCCTGATGGAGAAAGTAGGTGTCCTTTGCCTACCCAAAAATGTAGGTCCAGTGAGAGACGTGATGCCTTGAGATTTACCTAAGAATAAAAACAAATTCTACACAAGTGATGGCAAACAAGGACCACCTAACAAAACAAGCTTAACTGGAAACAAAAGGGTTTTAGGGTAGAGACTAAAACCATCTTACTGATTCTCGGGCATAAGAGACACTGCACAATATGGTTAAGGAACTGTCATCTCCTCCTCAGTGAATTTTGGGAAAAAAGGATGGGTGCTGGATGAATTAAGGACAGCACAGGCCACACTAGATTACTGTTCAGGAAAATTTCTGGCAAGTGTTAAGTGCTTCAGAAATGCTTACAAGTCTTTAAACAATGAACAAACAAATAACCCACATTAGATTAGGGTTAGGGTTAGCAGACTAGTAAAGGGTTTTGTGTGGCTGTGTAGGTGCTGATGGGCCAAGTGAGTTGAGCTATCTGCAGCACAGAGTCTGCTGGGGAGGAGACAGGATCACACGGGAGAAAGAGCTCTCTCCTGCTGTTATTTTCTAAAAGGGAAACTGATACCTGATCAATTATTCTACAAATGCCTGAACCCAAGAGAAGGCTATTAACATACCAAATACAAAAAAGCCAAACTTAAGGAAGAATGGCAGCAGAATCATATCACATATACAAATTACTAAAGAAACTTAAAGATGAAATAAATAATAATTTACCCTCACTCAGCATGTGAAAACCCATAACTGACCCCCACTTATGCAGCTGACTTCACTAGTCAAAACAAATAAAAAATAAAAAATGATAAAGTGAAGTTCATAAGCCAAAAACAAAGAGGCTCTTAACTATTTTCTCGCCTTCTGATATTCAGATAGCAGTTACATATCAGGTTTGGAATATCTACATACTTTTCAATGGTACAGGAAGTAGTCCCTAATTTTCATCACTCTACAAGTTCAATGATATCTAACAGTGACTTACATTTCATCCCGCGCCCCACCCCCCTCTTTTTCAGCTCATTTGACAGTCTGTTGATATCTAACAAAGACATGAGCAGTTAGTACACAGTACTTGGGGAACCAAGATATTACCTTTCTTCCATTTTAAGATAAAAACTCCAGAAACAACCCTGGCCAGTTTGGCTCGGCAGTTAGAGTGTCAGCCCACGAACCAAAGAGTCTCGGGTTCGATTCTGGTCAAGGGCATTCGGTTGCGGTTTGCTCCCTGGACCTGGTAGGGGTCCTGTGGAAGGCAACCAATCGATGCCTCTCTCCTCCCTCCTCCCTCCCCTCCCTCCTACTCTACCTGAAGATAAATGAAAAAATATCCTTGGGTGAGGGTTAAAAAAACAACAACTCCAGAAACACAAACCTAAGAGTAGGGAGTAATGATAGTTCTATAAAGGGAACAAAATTCTAGATTGGTTCTTTCAAAGTGTTTAATTATCAGTCTTGAAGAAAATTACTAGAAACCCCCTTATGAGCAATACTTCGCCTCCCAGGTGTGGGAGGCATGGTGGTGATTCCCTCATCCCACTTTATGGATGAGGTCACTGAGGATGAAGTTGTTTTAAGTATAAGAGATTGCAAGTTTGCAGATGGAGTTCAAACCAGCTAATAAAACCATACTTAAAAGCAATCCATCCATGCATGACTGCTGTATTTCCAGTCCTGCGCAAGGCATTACATTCCCATGGCTGTCTCGGTACCAGGAAAGCCGACCATAGATTAAGCACTCAGGTGATGCAAACATACCTAGACGCAGCAGCAAATGCAACAGCCCGGGCAGCAGTAGCTTCTTCTAATTTCTTCCTTTTTTTCTCCTCCATTAACTGCTTTTCTACAAAGCTCCGGGCTTCCTGCTCAGCTTTTAGCTTTTTCTCCAACTGGTTGATATTCTGCTTGTCTTTCTGCTTCACTTGTACAGCATTATGTAACCTATATAAACATGATTGTCACACAGAGTTTTACAATTACAATCCCACTATAAACCCTGGAGAAATAGGGCTCCTCTTTATTATTTTAAGGCCAAAGTAAAAAAGAGGTCTGAACAGGAAACATAAACATCAACTTCCAGAGTGCCCTGGGAAAACACACTGTCATTATTATTTAACAATTCCTAAATACCAATAAGCAAGCTGCCATACAAGATACAGAATCAGAACTAGCCTCTGCTCTAGCTACAGAAGGTAATTCAGAAAACAGGGTAAAACAAGTTTCTATCAGAGGGAAAGGTAACTGTAGAAGTAACTCAAGTGCCCCAATGCACCCTGAAAGAACTTCAGTCTAACCAAGGTACAACTGATGGAGCCAGCCCGCTGAAACTGAGGTAAAGGGCAGGTGGGAGAAGGTCTTTCTTTGCCTGAACGTAATTATGCTACAGCCTTTCCTTTCCAGCTGTGAGACTTTTTTTCCAGAGTATCCCAAAATAGATCTAATAGAGTCACAGGATGCTTCATTTCAGTTAGAAATTTCAGCCCTATTCCCCCTTCCCTGGCTACGACCACTCCCAGCTTTACATAGCAATATAAGGTGAGTTTATCTAAATATATCAATAAGGGTGAGATGTTCTCTATGTATCAATGCTACAGCCATCACATATGTGGGTCAGAAGCAATGGAGAGGTTATTTACCTATAATGCTTTAGCTTTTGAGTTACATTCCTTAAAAATGTTGAAGGACTACTCTTTCAATGGGGCAAGCCCAGAAAACCCAAAACCTATAATAGTAATCACTACTGCAGACAGACAGTGCTTAGAGATTTTTTTTAAAAAAGGACAGACCCACATTGAGTCAAGAAGTAATTCCAGAATGAATTAGTAGAAAGTATAGGAATTCACAAAGAAGAGCTGGCTTTTTGCCTGCCTCTTCAATAAAATCAAAGTTTAATGTCAATTTTTAGTTTTGAAAATCAAAGTAAATACAGTCTAATGCTCTGGAAACTTTCACTCAAAGGAGCAAGAGCTTCAAATTTGGGCAGAAATACTTCTTGTCAACTTTACATATATTACAAAAGTTTGATAACTATTTTAAACTAAGAGAGGTTATTAAATGAGAGAAGACAAAATAGCACCATTAATAAACTTGTTGAAATAAAATAAATTCTTATAGATTTTATAACATGATCAATATCTGGTACTAAATTAACTATTTTAAACATTTTATTTAAAAAGCCCTCTGCAGGTCCCTTTGTCATTATACACCTTGTGCTCCAATCCCTGGGAACAAAAGAAACAGTGAGGCCACTTGCCTCACCAAAGCCCCAGTAGATGCACATACTTGTTCTGCAGCAGCTCATTCTCCTGCCGGAGCTGGCCCATTTCTGAGCGGATCCCTCGCTCGGTGCTCGAGAGGGAGCTGATCTGACTGCGGAGCTCTTGTTCCACTTGCCTGCTGGCCTGTAGGTCAGCCTTTAACTTTTTAATGTCTTGTTCCAGCCTAGAAGGAGAAGCACAGCATTTTCATCACAGAGAGGGCACCCATGGGGCTCTGTGGAGACCCTGGCTAAAGTCCCAGACTGCTGGGTAGATGGCTGAGGACCTCTCTGGCAGCTTTTGCCATCACCACAACTCCTGTCTGTAACTGGTTCTATAGTGTGAGTTTCTGCCTGGGTCCCCACCTCTTCCCACCAGAGGGTAACTTTTGATTTTCCCCAAATGTTTGTGAACACTGACAGATAAAGATGGTGCTTGTGAGCAGCTAAGCTCCTAAAAGAGGAGGAGGGAAAGGCAGAGAGAGGGTGGCTGAAGGGTAAGGTCCCCTCCCTACTGGTGAATTTCCCATGCCCCTCAGCAAGGGAGGTATGTTAGTAACACCCAGCTCAGGACCCACCTGCTTTGAGATATTCTGATAGGTCAGAATCTACTGTCTGAGATTCCATCCCAGCACAGGCCTAGAAGAAAACAGTGTCTGAAACAACCTCCTGAAATTGCTAGCATTCTTGCTAAATGATGTTCACACTTCTGGTGAGTATGACAGAAGAGCTCATTAGATTCATGACAATAAAAAAAAAAGGAACACATTGCATGCTGTAAGAATCATAAGAAAACTCCACCTGTGAACTGAAGCCTATTCTTTCTCTTCAATTCCTTACTCCTGTTCCATCTATTTTCTTTATTTAATACAGCAGTGGTTTCATTTTAAGCATTATGTATTGGGAAACTATTATATGCACAAGTATGGCTGGGGAAAGTCAACAAAAAGTGTAAAATCAAGCCCCTTTCTTCATGAGAGGACTTGACACTTTCACTAAGGGCTAACAGATAGATACTTAAAATGATTAAACAACAACTCAAGAAAGGCCATGATTAAACACATGCTAGAAGAAATAATAACTAATATTTAATGAGAACTTATGTACCAGGCATTGTTCTATGGATTTTAATAGTATGAACTCATTCAATCTGCACATCTTATGGCTAAGTGCAATTATTACTCCCATTTGTATATATGAAGAAATCTAGATTCAGGGAAGCTTCCAGCCAAGGTCACATAGGTAGGCTAGCTCCAGAGTCTACTCTTCACCAGTAGGCTGAACTATAGTTTTATCATACATAGCATGGTATGGGTAGAAGTGCCAAATGAGTTCTGAGGAGAGAAGATGGGAACTGAATTGGGCCTCAATGGTTGCGGTTGGGCAGGATTTAAAGAAACAGAAGGGGGAGGGAGGTGTTCTAAATAAGGGGAGAAAACATGTCCAAAAGTTTAAAGACAGGAACAGCCATAGATATTTGAGGGACAGAGCAATCAGTCTGGCCTCAGAGGAAGGCTCGTACTCTGGGAACAGAGTGAGAGAGGATAGAATGGGTCTGGTGGATGGGACTTCGGTGAGTGCCACTGAAGGTCAGGCCAAGGATGGCTGCCATGTGAGACTCAGACACCTTTCCCTACAAACTTACAGGCAGGCAAAAATCAGTGTGCTCTGATGAGACTTGTGCATTTCACGAATACAACATACCAACAGAACCAGGACCTCTGGAGGGCAATGGTGATCTCTCCCTTCGTGATCTCAGCTCCACAGACTAAGTCCTGACAGACGTGTTTTATTAAGCACTAAATCCCCAGGGCCCACCACAGTCATCAGCACTTACTAAATATATGTTGCCTGACCTCTCTTAGAAAACCAAAGAGCAGCCTTATTTACTTATCTACCTTTAGCCAACTGAAACAAAACCTCAAAAACAAAATGTCATATAACACTGATGATCATCTCCCAAGCACAGTAGTTAGCCTCCCTGTCCAGTGACCGGGAGTACAGACTGAAGACCTTGTGTTACAGAAGCTCTGTCGGGTCTACTGACACAGTTCACTCCCCAGGGAAGGGTCACAAATCAACATCACACCACACTTTCCCTATTGCCAGAGTTATTCCAGTTGAATGTCCTCCCGGAACTGCTCTAAACAATTACAGACTGACATTTATACCAACCCACACCATCCCTCATTCGCCCGAAGTAACCCAAGGGATGTTTTCCAAAACAGGTCGATGCTGTCAGGTTGTCCCCATTAAGAAGTTTGGCTGAAAAACATGTTAGGTAATTTATCTTGCCTGAGAAGTAGATTTCACAGTCTAAGAATTGCAAGGGTGAATTTTAAGATGAGAATAGGGACTTAGCATGGTTTAGTAATGGGGTTTAGGATCAGGATTCTAGATAGCTCTGGTGCCAACTCTGTGACCCTGGATAAGCCATGTAACCTTCCAGGACTCAGTTTCCCCATCTGAGGCTAACGATCTCTAAAGTTCCTCCCAGCTTGGTCTAGGATTTCTAGGCCTGACACACTTACCACTGGCTGCTGATCTGCTTCTTCAGATTAGCAACCTAAGCTGTATCATATGCAGAGGCACAGGAATCAAGTTCCACACAACCAGCCAACTGGGGGAAAACATGTGCCACATTGGGAATGAAAAAAAAATTAAATCTGAACAGGCTAGATGTCAATAATTAGCAGTTATTACTTTTTTGCATTTTTTAATTGATAAAAGCCAATTTTCCTGTCATGAACTAAAAATAACAATATTCTGAATGAAATTTTAGAGCTCCTTGTAAAATGTAAGAACCCAAAGAGTTAATGCAATTATGAGAGCAAAAAGTGCAAAATATCTAGAGTGTAACTTATGGAGACCGCAGAACACTAAACAACTATATATTTTTTTATGTAGAACTACAAAAATTTTGTCAAAGATACATAGCACAAAACCACAAAAATAAAATAATGTGGTTACAAAGGTATATAGAAAATATTTAAGTTGTACACTTAAGATTTGTGTACTTTGGTGGATGTGTGTTATAATTCAATAAAAAGTTTATTTCCCAAAATAAAGTAATTTCACAAGACATAGAACTAAAATGTTTTGGGAGTTTCACAACTGCTACCATCAATTTTGTAAAACTCTGAATTATTGTTTTCCATATAGTTGCAGCAAATCTGTGGGTTAGCACCAGCATTACCCAGTTTAAGAAACACTGATTTATAGAAACATTGCACAATGACACGTAAAATAACTTAATGTGCTAATGGTGAATTCGAAGTAATTCTTAAAATTTATGACAGAAAGTTTTTCATTGTCTTGCTAAAGAAAGCATTAACTTAACCTTAAAGGTTCACTATATTTTAAACCTTTACTGAAGTAGGTGGTTAAAATGATTTATAACCCCTTATGGGATTTATTTTTTATTGTAAAACTGACACTCAATCAATATAAAAAACAAACAAATTGCATACAACAACAGAAAAGTATGAAGAATAAAAATGTAAACAACTCAATCTTCTCATCCACACACTAGTCACATTTGGTTTACTTCTTTTCTGTATGTCTTTTTTCCTTTCTCTTTCTTCACACATGTAAATATTTTTAATATTGGTGAGAGAGTACCACACAATACAGTTTTCATATCTTAAGCACCTTCCCATACCATTAGAAATTTTTCATAAACAATTTAATTGCTGCATAATATTCCAGTGTGTGAAGATATAGTTCAGTTTTTACGCACACACATTAAAAAGTGTATATATTAAAAAAGTGTATACATGAATTTTTAAAAAATTATGTAAATCAATAAACTGAACTGAATAAAGCCAGTCAAATGCCAGGAGCATTTATTAAACAGATAACTATTTGTCTTAATGATATACTTAGTTCTTTGGTGCTGAAGGTCAATACTTCCTAGGTAAAAATACAGATATCTAATTTATTGATGTGATGCATCAAGAGGAACTAATTAAACGGTATTAAGAAGTTAGTGCAAAATCTTCAAATGTATTCATGGGATTTTATTAAAATGTCAATAGCTGCAACCTAAATTAGAAGCAAGTGTTCAGGAAGAACATGAGGCAGAAGTAAGTTTATAACCCTAAAACTCATTTCAGTCAATAGGAATTGAAAGAAAGGAGGGGAAAAGTTCATCTGTGAGCTCATACTCTATTTATGAGAACTAAATCCTACTCTCTTCCCTACACAATAGACAATTAGGGGTAAAAGAGAAATTTCCTCCAGAAGAATGATAATCTCATACAAAAAAAAAAAAAGGCTCTGGCCGGTTTGGCTCAGCGGTTAGAGCATCGGCCCTTGGACCAAAGAGTCTCTGGTTTGATTCCGGTCAAGAGCATGTACCTTGGTTGCGGTTTAGTCCCCGGCCCTGGTCAGAGTCATGTGGGAGGCAACCAATCGATCAGTCTCTCTACACTGATGTTTTTCTCTCTCTCCCTCTTTCTCTCCCCGCTACTCCTTTCCTCCCTTCCACTCTATCTGAAGATAAATGAAAAAATATCGTCAGGTGAGGATTTTTTTTTTTTTAAAGGGCCAGACAGATCTTAACCAAACTTTGGTAGGGGTTAGGCAGGAAATAAATGCACTTCCTGCTTGCCCAATTCCCATGGCACTAGTTTTCACACCTACAAAGGCTGCCTAATGGTGTCACCACTTGGGATACAGGCAGGGCCCATGGCAAAGCCAGAGTTTATATGTCCAATAAATATGTCCATTTGTGCCAATCAGACAAGGGTTCTAACCAACTCGAAATGTTACCTATTAGGTCCAGGCACCTTTCCTAGTCACTTCATTGATCATTTTAGAAGACAGCACTCAACTTCCAACCTTGTGAAGCTACATTTGAACTCCAGCTCACAAGCAAGAGGTGGGACCATCAAGAGCAGAACTTCTCAGGTCTGCACTCTGATAGGCTAGGCTGACTTCAAAACAAAGTTGACAAGTTGAGGATCCCTCTTACCCACTCCAAACCTGAATTCTATCTCATCTTCTCCCTCTCATCTTTTCCAATAAAAGTAAGTTACTATGTAAATGGTTGATAATTATTTAATTTTAATAGGAAAAGGTTTACATTTTAATAATCTCCAAAAGAATGAAGCTCAAACATTAGCCTTTCAGGCAGGCTAAATAGGAAAAATATCTCTGAGTATCTTGAAGTACACCTGGTAGT